ATATATATATATATATATATATATATATATATATATATATATACACACACACACACACACACAAATCACCTTTGAGGTGAATAAATGCAAAATTAAGCAGCATTTTAGTTACTCAATTCTAATCTAGCATATTATAAAACAATGTACTGGGCCTCTGCAACACTATGAGCTAAATGTCTATTGCCATAGGGGCCAGTTGCCTTAGCATTTTTAGGTGGGGCTCGGGATGGAGGGGGAAAGGAAGGACAGAGCTCTGTCATAATAAAGGAGTATTTGGGACCAGCCCTGTAGTCAACACAATAAATTTTTGTGGCCTGATGAACGAAATGCCCAAAAGGCCTGACGAATGAAATGCCTAAAGGGCAGGGCATTCTAAGCATAGTGTGCAATTTAGGCTAAGGGGAGGTGGGAATGGGATGCCTGCAGGAAGGAACATGGAGTGAGGGAGCTGCCTGGGAATGGGGAGTGTGGGAAGCTGGAGGAGGGAGGAAATGCGAGGACTTCACCTGCAAGTTCATAGTATACTTGGCCCAGGGGAGTCAGGCCAGGAAGTGAGAAGTTAGCTCATCCAGTTTGTGCTCTTTCCAAAAAGACTAATATATGCACTAGGAAGGGCCTTCTAAACCAACACAGAACATATGTTCAAGTACAGTACTTTATGATTTTGAGCTTTCCTTTCTTGACAGAAGCAAAAGGAGAGAGGATTCATAAGGAAAAGGGAACAACAGGTAGAAGACTTCTTCATTTTTGCCGAAGTAAATTTCCAGTTTTCCCTCAACTAGAGTTTACTGTTGATTTTACCATCTAGGAGTTCAATGTCATAAAGCTGTTCAGGTTCAAATCCGCTCTCCTTGACCACAGCTATTAGTGCACATAGGGAAATTAAAATGTAACAAGGAGATGATAGCGGGACACAGGGCACAGATACGAACAGGTTAGGCTCACTTTTAACCTTCCAGAAAATGGGATTTTCATTGTTTACATCTCTCAGAATAGCATAATTGTTATATGATATTTGATGACAGTTTGGGGAAACGTAGTCACCAACTACAGCCTAAATTACTAACTAGTTCCTTCTGGTTGCTACCTCTGTGAGGTGAAAGGTTACTTTTGTGTCTATCCAATTACATCTCTTGAGATTACAAAAACAATAAAATTAGCCTGACCGGCCTTACAGCTCAAAATTGATTTAAAATCTAACTGTTAATCTTGTTTGTTTTTGGTTGCCTTCAGCAAGAATGATTAAAAATATATGTAACCTCATGGGCTACATTTTGGTGAAAGATCAAAGTTGATAATACAATAAAATGTTACTGCCAAACATTGACTTCAAAATATACGTGTCCCATATAACAAAATATCTTTTTAGTGCATATGGGCATCATATGGACCCATATATCCCAAGCATATTTTCACCACTTTGGAATTTTCAATTCTATCATTTTAGGTGTAAATATATGACCTTGGCACAGGGACGTAACTGTAGGTAAGTATGCACAGTTGTTGACAGTTAAGACCCAAGACATTTCAGTAACTTGACTCTGCCTTGGATATAGAGGATGTACAATTTATGTTATACAAAGAAGCTCAATTCCTACAGGCAGAGATCAGCTGTATATCAAACATCCAAATCTTATTTCTAAATCAATGTCTCCTGAAAACATTTTAAATGAAAAACATTCCATATACTCTCTACACTTTGAATTTTATACCCCTGGTTGAGCCGCAGAATAGTAAGACTCTTAAAGATAAAGTTATCTGCTTATTTATATATTCCATTACCGCATCTATTTTTTCCATCTGTTCATCAAGTTCCAGGCTTGACTTGTAACTGAGAACCATAACTGAGAGACCATAAATAATTTTTTTCAAAGCACATTTGTTTTAGACTAGAGATAATGATCATTCGGTTCAGGTGATCGAGGAAATTGGGGATAAACACACACCATCTGAACTCTTGAGTCATTTGTTGTAATGGAAAGAAACAACTGTAGCCACCGGCTGTGGCCTTTCCACGTGACCTCCCAGCTCCTGCCTGGGCTCGGAGATCGCCAGCCTATTCAACACGTCTCCCTCATTAAGCCCGGACGAGAAGATGTCCTCAGTGTGAGTGTAGAACACCGTAAGAACACAGATTAGCTGAGTGCCAGGAAACTCTTCCAGAATCAGATGGAAAAATTTAGGTTTTAAAAGAACAGGGCTCTCCATTAAATCACTTAAGAATTTCACGGTTTGAAACTGGAAGACTTAGAAACAAACAAGAACCTCAAGGTCAAAACTATTAAACGCTTATTAAAAGACCTGATGGAGAAAATTGATTCTTTGCTGGTACTTGTTCCACTGTTCATTCCTTTTAAATCCATGGGAATGATTTGGGCACATTTATCTTTACATTCTCAATAATGACAAGAGATGCTTTAAAAAAAAAAAAAGTTTTTTATTGATTCAGAGAGAGGAAGGGAGAGGGAGAGTGACAGAAACATCAGTGATGTGAGATAGTCAATGATAGCCTGCCTCCTGCATGCCCCCTACTGGGGATCGAGCCCGCAACCTGGGCATGTGCCCTGACCGGGAATCGAACGGTGACCTCTGGGTTCATGAGTTGATGCTCAATCACTGAGCCACACCGGCCAGGCAAAAGGTGCCTTTTAAAAATAGTTTTCAAAATGTCATGGTTTGTAAAACATTTTGGGGAAATAATGTTAATGTATTAATACCACTTAAGCAAGAAACTTTGCTGGGAGTGTGGAACCTTAACGTGCCAAAAGGTGTACTGAGGGGGAGTTGGCAGGAATTCAGCCAGCGTTTCCTCTCCTATCAAAAATCTCACCTGGGAGTAGACATGGGAGGAAGGGGCAATTAGAATCTAGTGTATTTTCTATGACGGTAAGAAAAAATGTAATCTTGAAGAATTAATTGTTGATTTAAATGCCTTCCTATCCCACTACAATCCCATTCAGATTTCACTGGAAATTAAGAATGACTGAGCCCGGCCGGGCTTGGCTCAGCGGTTGAGCGTCGACCTAGAATCCAGGCGATCAGGGTTTGATTCCCGGTCAGGGCACATGCCCGGGTTGCCGGCTCGATCAATGACTCTCTCATCATTGATGTTTCTATCTCTCTCTCTCCCTCTCCTTTCCTCTCTCTGAAATCAATAAAGATATATTTAAAAAAAAGAAAAGAAAAGAATCACTGAGTCTGTTCCATGGAATATACCTAAGAGAACCAGGTAAATATACATGGAACATTTAGCATTAGTTAAGTAATATTTGTAATGTGAAAGCTTCAGAAATTCTCTAGCATGGTACGATGGACTCTAGACACAGAAAGAAATAAATGGCAAGCCTGGACCCAGCTGCCACTCGCTGTGAGCTGCGTGATCTTGAACAAGTCACTCAGCTTCTTTGTATCTTCGTGTTCTCATCTGTAAACTCCTTTCCAGTTCCAGTGTTAACTGCCCTTTATCCACCTTTCCCCTTTGTAAACAGATATGACTTTGGGAAATCAGCTAAGTAAATCAGAGGGACTGGAACTTATTCTTGGGAATAGCAGACTGTTTTGTCATTTTTAGGTTCTGGTTAGTACCATGTGCACTGAGGCAAGGGCCTAGATAAATAAAACTGAAAGTTGGGGGCATTGCCGGGTCCGTGGCAACCATGTTTCTCAGTCCGATACACCAGGGTATTTTGCAAAACATCAGAATGACAACTGAAAGTAAAAGAATTCTTTGCGTTGGCCACTCACAGCTGACAGTCTGAGAGCGACTGGAGCCCCAGGAGAAATACATCTGGGTTTCATTCAGTGTGCTTTACATGTAGAAAGCTTCCTCCCCTCTGCCCCCGCTTATCAGTCCTGGGCTGCAGGCAGTCACGTGACACAGTGCACACAGGAGAGGGGATACCGAAAGAAGACAAGAGGTGGAGGGGATCTGAGCCAAGTCCCCGTCTTACCTCCTCCACATGACTCGGAGCACCTGGTGAAGCCCTCATACTCCCAGTCATACAGCTCGTCGAAGTCCTGCAGGCCACCAGGGAGGCCGCGGGTCTCCCCCGGGCTGGACTCAGGAACCTCCCCGCTGCACGGTCCTGCGTAACAGGCTCGCTGGGATGCCGGCTTGGGTCCTTCGCATTCGTCAACAGGCAGGTCAGCCACGGACTGAGAGAAAGACAGGAGCACCTGGCACTTGACTATTCGCACCTGGGTCCCCACACCGCAGGTCACCGTGCAGGCCGACCAGGCCTCCGGGATGAACCTGCAGTCGGCAAGCAAACAAGAGGACAGGATGAGAAGCCCCAGGCAGCAGAGCCCGGGCATCGGGAGGGGCCGCCTCCCGCCCGCACCCATGGCCCAGGACCGTCCCAGGAGGCGCTCAGGGCTCTTCCGCCCTGTCCTGAGATGGGTGCTTCGCTTTAGGTCATCAGCTCACTTGCCACTGTTTCTGGATTGGCTTCTTGCAGTGTCATATGAACTCCCAGCTGCAAGACATTCCAGCCACAGACCACCTGCTTTCTGCCTGCCTTGCACCCACAGCGGTAGTGCTTCCCAGCAGGGAATTGGGGGTTTCTTCTCTCTCGTTCTAAATCCCAGCACTTGTGCCTGCTGCAAGATGCCAGCTATTCTTATAGCAGACTAATTCTGATACTAAAAACTAACAAAATAAGCCCTTGGAGATATTTAAGGAAGTATTTTTCTTAGTCTGGATCTCATATTCTGTAACTTTCTTTGCTTTTCTGCACAATGTGCTTCCCGAGATTTATTTATATGCAGAAAAAGTTTTGTTTTTCGGGTTTTGTGTAAGTTTCCAAGAATGGAGCAGTCTTGCTCCTCACACATTCTTTGAATTAGTCTGGACGACAGTTCTTTTTTTATCATAGAGAAAAATCTGTGCTACAAATTTAAGTCCACAGGCATGTGACAGTAAGGAGAGGCTGTGCTTTCATACAAGTGTGTTTAACAGTCCCCCCCCCCACCCCCTCGAGAGAAGCCACAATAGTAAGAACTTGGTTTATTTCCGAGTTTCTCCAGAATGTACAACAATATCCAAATTCCAAAAAATAAGGCTTTTTCCTCCCTCCCACTAATCAACAATGGCTATAACTGCAATGACCTTGAGAGGGGCCTAGGGAAAAAAGCCCAGAGGGAACTGCTAACAATTTCAAAATGTTAGTAAAATAATCTGGAGAAAGAACTTTGGAATAAAATTTTTTTATTTTTCCATGATCCTTCTGCTTTCTCACAGGGAGTCATGCTGAGGAGGCATGCAAACCTGGCTCCTTAACCTTGACTTTGGCAGAAAAGGAAAGAACTGATAAGAAGGTTATAGCATTCAATCCTAGCAAGTGCAAATGGCTCATATCTAGTTCAAGGAAATTGAAATTATATCAGAAAACCAATCCAAGTTTTCAAACTGGAAGGAACACACAAAGACATTTCCTGGGCCTGAGCCTGGGCTGTGTATGGAGCAGGGGCTCTGGCATGGTGTCTGAGGCCTGTTAGAAGTCCCTTTAGGAAGGGTCTGATATTTGTTATCTTTGAGGAGCCACCCCCTAGGAGAGACTGAAAGTCACATGCAACCTTGTCAGGAAGGTGGATGACAGAGGGAGGAAGGGCCACCCAGACTTACTCCCAAGGAATTCTCATCACAATGTTATCTCCCTCTCTTGTTTTTGAATTCTTGACTTCATCTCTGGCTCCTAGAGAACCCAGGGGAAAACAGTATCCTAAGAGATTAAAAAGTCTCTTTCTCTTCAAATAATGCTACCTATAGGAACCTTTTAGAAAAATAAAACCCAAATCTGCAATTAAAATAATCTTAACCCTCTTCTTACACATTCCTATATATCTGCCTGGCTCCTGGAACAAGAATCACGACAAATACACAGAAACTGAATTTTATACCCCAGGTGTAGATATAAAGGAAAATGCAAAACTAATGCAAAATACTAATTTTGTATATAAAGAAAACCCAAAAGCAAATGATAAGTCTGCCAACTTGACCATAATGTGATGAATGATGCTTCTTTAATAATGTGGTGCTGAATTTTGTTTTCTAATACAAAAAGACTACACATGTTAAAAAAACAAAACCCCTGCACCCTATTAGCTTTTCCTTTGCAGTGAGGATTATGGTTCTGTCATCTAGCAGAGCCCTCTTCAGGGGCCATTGCGAGAAGACAGGGATCAGCTAGCTTCTTCTGTAAAGGGCCAGACAGAAAATATGTTAGATTTTATGGGCCACGTTTATAGGTCTTTGTTGTTGCAACTGCTCAACTCTGCCAACATAGTTTGAAAGCAGCCTTAGACAATATGTAAACAGATCGGTTCAGCTGTGTTCCAATGAAACTTTATTTACAAAAACTGGGGGTGGGGGTGGTAAGGGTGGTAGAAGGGACTGAATTTGGCCTGTGGGCTGTAGTTTACCAATTCCTGCTAAAGAACAATTAGTGGAGAGATGCCAAACATACTGAGATTCCTAAATAATCTCCAAACTTAGTTTAGGTCTTACTTTCTATCTTTCCCCACTTATATAAGCTTATAAAAATGACAAGTAGCTGAACTGTTTTATCATCCAAAGTGAGTCCCAGGTGAATTCTAGAATATAAATGATGAACAAACTAAACACTTATCTCTCCTTGCCTATAATATGATTAGCTTTGCATTTGGTCTCTTTCCAGGACCAAGAAGATATACCAAAAGCCCACAAAGGAGAAAGGGCATGCTACTGACGCCTCATGAACTCGACGTAATGGTTGAAACATTTATTTTAAAGCAGCATCTAAATGAAAAATGAAAATCAGTATGCATATGTGTGTGTGTATTTTTGACTCTCTGAACATTTAGGGTTAATAGCAAAAACAATAAACATCTATTTTATATCTCCCAAGTGAGAGTCTTATCAAATATCAAATAGCCTTACTGGCTTATCTCCCAGTCCACTATCCTAAGGTCTTCATCAAGTTCACACCAATTAAAAACAATTTGGCTTTTAAGTGGTGCTGTCTTCTGGCAGTCATCTTAATTTCTCTAATGCATACACTGTATGATATGATATATTCTCTCTCATTGAAGGCAGAAGATTATATTTCAAAAGAAAAATACATAATAGTGCAAATGGCCAAATGAATAATAACTTTTTCATATGAAACTTTCCCTCACACCCCTAGATCTCTCAACTTTGCATTTACTATCTTGAGCTTTCTGGCCACAAGTGGGAGGAAGCAAGGTCAGTGAGAGGGCAGGCAAGTGGGCTAGAAGGTTTAAATGTCATGTGTAAATGACTCAATTTGAATTGGACTTGTTGAGTTAGAACCTTTATTGTGGGATCCTTAAAATAGGTATTTGAAAAATCATTTTGATGTACAAATGTACAATTAAAAAGTTCTTATTATTGAAGTTTAATTTGGCTAATTTAAAAATTCTTTTTGTTAGCCGCACTATTTTGGGATGAATAAAAAATGGCTGGATAAGTGAGTTCTTTAAAAGATAGGCTTTAACTTCAGAAAGGACTGATTTGATTTCTGCATTTAATCTTTCCATCTCCAGGAAATCAAAAAATAACCTAACAAATTTATGTTCTGTCTAGTCTTTGATTTCCAAGCTTAATTATTCATTTTATTAACAAAAAGCTTATTCTTTAATTACTTATTACCATAGTACTTTTCATGAAATAGAAAACAGTGATAATGAAATTCACTTGTAAAAATCCCATTTATTAGTGGCTACTGTGGAGTCAGAAGCATGGACTAAAATAACAAAAACAATCACTTTATTAATTTAAACAGAACCAATTCACTCTCGGTTAATTAGTCTCATATCATTGCAAATGTTAGCCAGAGTTAGGCTCTGATTTTAATGCACTATTATATGGTCTGTAGCTAAGATATTTAACTTCTCCTTTTCTCCGCTTACTTTCCTCTTTTCTCAGATACATATTTGTTTTAAAAATCATTGTGATTATTTAAAATAAGAGGAGATTTGTAGGTATGTCATTTTGATGCTGTTACCAGCCTCACCTCATGATCTGGTTTCAAAAAGCAAATAGAAACGTGAAGGAAACCACATTAGGAATATTTAATTTTGGTTCAGTTTCAATCTTATTACATTTGAGTTATAAGTTAACAGGGGTTGTGGGTTTTGTCTCCCTCTTTCTTTCGGCGAATGTTTGAGTATTAGAGTGGTGGCACAATATCAGTGTGAGGAGAGAGGAGGGAAGAAACTGAATAGTGTAGTTAAAAATTATAAAAGACTACTATTCAAAACAGTAAACAAATTCATTAAAGTTGCAGGATACAAAATAAATATACAAAAAACTCTTGTGTTCTTATAACTAACAATGAATATAAGAAAGAGAAATGAAGAAGACAATCCCATTTACAATGCAACAAAAAGGAAAAACTGCCTAGGAATAAACTTAAAGGAACTGGAGGACCTGTACACTGACAGCTACGAGACGCTGTTAAAAGAAATTGAAGACGACACCAAGAGATGGAAAGATATTCTGTGTTTATGGACTGGAAGAGTTAACATTGTTAAAATGTCCATATTACAGATTATCTACCTAAAGCAATCTACAGATTCAATGCAGNTTTATGGACTGGAAGAGTTAACATTGTTAAAATGTCCATATTACAGATTATCTACCTAAAGCAATCTACAGATTCAATGCAGTCCCTATCAAAATCCCAATGGCCTTTGTCACAGAAAGTGAAGAAAAGATCCTCAAATTCGTAAGGGGCCACGAAAGATCCTGAATAGCCAAAGCAATCCTGAGAAAAAAGGGCAAAGCCAAAGGCATCCCACTCCCCGATTTCAAACTATACTACAAAGCTACAATAAGCAAAGAAGTATGGTATTGGCAGTAAAGCAGACACTCAGACCAATGGAACAGAACTGAGAGCCCAGAAATAAACTTATACAAATAAAGGCAACTAATTTTTGACAAAGGAGACAAAAACATATATAATGGAAAGGAAAGTCCTTTCAATAAATGCTGCTGGGGACACTGCAAAGCCATATGCAAAAGAATGAAATTAGACTGCTACCTGAACACCATACACGAAAATGACTCAAAATGGATTGAAGACTTGAATATAAGACCTGAAACAATAAAATACATGGAAGAAAAACATCGGCAGTAAACTTTAGGGACCTTGGTCTCAGACAGGTTTTTGTGAACTTGATCCCAAAGGCAAAGGAAGTCAAAGAAAAACTGAATAGGACTTGATCAAATGAAAAAGTTTCTGTACAGCAAAA